GTTCATTCAACATATTGAGAACAAAAACAAAGTATCGGCAAGCAGGACGTAGGTTTCTAACAGAGCAGTAAAGTGATCATACGTTACAACTCATCACTGTCAATTTACTGACCAAAAATAAAACCATTCTGTTAAGTGGTTTCTGAGGAACATATGACAAAAATATATGAGGGACGAATGGACATAATAATTTTAAGATACTTCCTAGTGGGGTTTAATATAAAACTCCTTTCAATTTATATAACCCTTTCACAATGTTGACATCTCGTTAGAAATTACACAATGTAAAGAGTTGTTTTAATCCAATTTTATTTTACTTACATGCATTTGCTATTTATTAATTTTCATTATTGTTTTCAAGATTATTTTATGTGTGTGTTTGTGTGTACCAATTGACTTTATTTTATATTCATTTTCATATATTTACATGAAAATGCATTTGTAGTAATCATACAAGAATATAATATATACTTGTTTTGAAAAGATGTACATATGTTTTTGAAATTAAGATAATATTTTAAAGGGCCATTAGTTACAATTTTGACACAAAATAAAACATATTTTAAAGCTGAATTGTGAAATATTATTTTACTATGAGCAGTCAGTTTGATTCAATTCGTCAAAATAAGCTTAAAACATCGTTAATGTATTATTGGCTTGCAAGTCAATAATTCAACTCATTTGGAAACGTATTCACCGAACTTCAATCAATCCTCAACTGGAAATGGGTAACGCATGTTTAAGGCATGTTCAGTTATTAAAAAGAAAAGAATGTTAACATTGAAAACTGAAACTAGGGAGCAACGGGGAAGATTCATTTCTTTGACTGATTCTGCACACAAAAATCATTCTTATTCTTGTACAACGATGATTTACATATTTTGTAATCAATGACATTAAATCGAATAGACCAACAAAAATCGCCGTTATACGATTGCACGTGCCTGAGTTTTTGTAATTCGGATATACGTTTTAGTTTCAGAATTATGTTAATTTCATTTATAAAAGAACATATAAATGTAATCTGTACAATTAAGTGCAAACAGTAATGACACTATGATGTCATAGATATAAAGAAATTTACGTATTTGACGTAACAAGGCCATTTCGCGCATATTTTTGGTCAACATATATATAATTATACAGCTTTACCAAAACGATATTTTACATACATTCACATTTTGTAATTTACATTTTGTACCAAAATATCTTTTTGGGTAAAGCTGTACCTCAAAAGTAAATATTATAGTGCTATTAACTGCCTGTTTCTGTATTGGCCCTGTTATAGATTCGAGGTTAGCTGTATTGGACCCGAGACTCGCAGAGTCGAGGCCAATACAGCTGATCGAGAATCTATAACAGGGCCAATACAGAAACAGCCAGTTCATAACACTTTTATTAAATGATTTTAATTCTTTTAATTAGAATAAAATAAGAAACTTACCGTGAAGAAGATACAGAATTTCATATCTGAACTTGTCTTTTCGCATTCACGTCCATGGATATTTTGTCAACATTGTCAGGTGTAATTTCTGATTTCTCGTCCGAGTACTTAATAATAATTATGCTATTACAATTCATTTTATCTAGCAAATATAAAGTAGCTGGAGAGAATAAATCAGACAGTTTAACTATTCTTACTCTTGGATCGTCTGCGTTCTGATGATTGATCAACGGAAATGAAACAGTGTCAATAATCGAAAGTAGTACTCGAAAAGGCTGTGAAACATTTCCGTTTCAAGACTTCAAGACGTTACAAAACACTGAACATCATTTAAACTTGATTTTAAGTTAAAAAAAAATAATACAAATGTGTTTTATGCATAACGATACGTCCAAAGCTAAGTAAGGCGTAAGAAAATTTAAACCGGGAGTGAACGTCCCGTATTAGCCCATGGGCCCATACAGCTTTTTTTCCGTAATGGCCCTGTTTTTTTCTGTATTGGCCCTGTTTTTTCCGTATTGGCCCTGTCCGAAAAGCAATATTAACTCTTGATTTATATCGACAGGGCAACGTCATCAGTATTGAACATGCTGATTTGTCCGTATTAGGGCTGATTTGCTCATATCATTTAATAATCCTAAATATTAATTACAAAATCTCAAAATGAGACTATTTTAGCAGATTTTTCTGCTTTGCACTAGATGTAAAAAGTTTGAAACCCTAATAAAATACGTGGACAAAATATATAAATAAATATATCCAACAGACTCATTAAATTGAGAATGGAAATGGGGAATGTGTCAAAGAGACAACAACCCGACTAAAGAGCAGAAAACAGCACAAGGCCATCAATGGGCCTTCAACACAGCGAGTAAATCCCGCACCCGGAGGCGGGCTTCAGCTGACCCCTAAACAAAAATGTGTAATAGTAATGTAATGTCTTTTTTAATATCTGAAGGACGTTATTTTGGTAGATTTATAATATTTTATTTATTTTCGTCCGTCAATCATGATCAATTCCCGGAATGTAAAATACGTGTAATAAAATGATTTTGAAAAAACATTTACGTTCCTTCCGGGTTATATATATTTTTTAAAGTATAAACTTTAAACTATAAAACCCATAAGATGTTGTATTTCTTGTTATTTCTTTGAAAATTTATCAACAGTTTTTTGATAATAATGATACAACCCATTTTACTGAATCTGAAAATAATACGCTTTACAAAGCGTAAAGTAATGTTCCAAATTTAGACCTTCAAACCAATGCAATTATTGAAATGGAATAAACAGAATTAATAACGCTATGAAAATAGAAAACCATTAAAGATATTTACAGGAAAATCAAGGAATATTGATCTTCAGCCTTCATAAATTGTACTTAATTCATTTGAATATCAAATGTCAAATGAATTAAATAGATTAAAGTAAAGATGACAATTTACTCTTATCGCAGATAAAGCATTATAATGGAAAGTGTTTCAATTTTCTTGCAATGCGACATAGTGATAATTGTGAAATTTCCTTTTTCCTTTCCGATTTTCCAAACTAATTGATAATGCTAATGTTATATGTCGGACACGGGGTTAATGATGAATTAACAGTTGAAAATATGTTCATTTTACATCTGCAAACGGAAATAGAATTAATTGCTCTTGAAAATTACAAAATATTTCGTACCGAAACTAGTTCAACAAAACATGTGTTTTTTGTGTTCCTATCCAAAGTTAGAAATGTCAGCAGTGGTATGACTGTCTCTTGTTTGTTTGTTTTTTTTCTATTATCATTCGATGTTGATTTTGTTGTCTTTACTTTATTCAATTATTCGAAATGTGCCAAAAAGCTACATGTGTCCAATTTAAAGCTTGGCGAATCATATGGCTGATTGTCCGTGGTAATTTCAAAACATAATGGTTGGCTTAAGGTTTCTGTTTTGTGTTTGCTATTTGCATACATATTTATTAACATAAAGCAGTAATCAGTAATCAAGAGTTCTTTTTATCCCATTATCTTAAAATCTGGGCCGCTCAGATAAAAGTAAATCCAGAAAAGCGTTTCGAACCACCTTATTCGGTACTTTCGAATTTGATTTAGCACAACTGGACCGATAGAACTGTATGAAAATCGACGATATAATCTGCCACGTAGTCAAGTTTCTACACAATTTATTAAATTCTATTCTTATAAATAGTAAAACGAAGAAAGTTAAAATTATCAGATGATTATAACAGATAACAATCTATGTATACACCTTTCGTTGTCCGAACGTTTGGCTCCGGTCGAAACAGATTTTGTGTCACACTGTTATTTATGTTTTTTTCTGTATTTTATTTTTTGTTATTTTGTTTTTTAGGTTTTAAGGTTTTTAGGTGAGGGGTCTTCTTCTTTGGAACATTTGTCGAAATTTAAGTAAAAAAACAAAATGATTATATTTCCGTTCAAAAAACATGTCTTTCTGGAATTACCTTCATTACCTTCATTACGTTCCTGATCTAATTTTTTTGGATAGCCGAAAAATATAAACAAATCAGAAAATGAAAATAAAAACGTCCCAAATAGAACAGCTAAATCCGTCATAGGTAAGCTTTGTCTGATGGAGTTGAAACTTAAATAATTCGTTGCTTGATTTTCTACCCTCTTTTTTTCAGCGGAGGGGGCATTACGTGTTACCCTTTTCCGTCCGTACGTACGTACGTGCGTCCCGAAATTGGTTGAGGCAAACTAAAGTTAGTGAACGGAAACCAAATATTATGAAACTTATACACAATGCTTATTTCCACAAAAAATAAAAAAAAAAAAAAAAAACAGATAAAGTTTGAATTAGGGTGGCGTCACTTTTACCGTTCTCGAGTTATGCCCCTTTATAATGTTGAGTCCCACGGACACATTCTCCATTTTTTAAAATTATTTTGCAACTCTAATGATTCAGTCGTTATATATCTCTGTTCTACAATGGCTATATTAACGAGTTTGGAGAGTTGATCACGGGGATAACCTGAATTATTCCGGTGAATTATCATATCGATAAAGATCCAGACACCTTAAGCCTATCACAACTATGATAAAAAGCAGAGATTCGCTCCAAAAATGACAAGGTCTTTCAATTGATTTCCAAGAGAATCCCATTTTGTCCACAACTGAAATTAAATTTTAAGAATATGTAAGAATGGACGCAACATTTCGTCAACCGAAACAAAAAATATTGAATGAGGGAATACTGTATCAATACAGTGGTCATTATGATTGCTTTTAATATATTCATTTTGGCTAAGTACAAATGTAGATGTATGGGGAATATAACATGATTTTTACGTTTTGTTTGAACAGAATACAATATGGAAATAACATGAAAGTGTATAATAAATACGAAACGAACATATTCACATACTCGCGTTATATTGAATTCAAATTATTTATCAAAAAAATGTATGATTGATAAAAGAGTTTTGGCGAACTGCCAAAAAGACAATTAAGATGGTTTAAAATTTTTACATTAGTTCTCGATATGCAAAACCTGATTAGTTGAAAGTAAGACATTTTGAAATTAATCTTTCAGAAAGCAAGAAGAAATGGTAAACTGTTTGTTGATCCAGACTTTCGTGCTGATATGTCTTCCATTTTTAAACATAAGGTGACCGCAAAGAAAATAATCTGGAAACGACCAAATGTAAGTATTGAAATGACATTACAAGTTACTAAGCCAACGAATAGACCGATATATTATAGGAAATATTTTACCAAGTAAACAGATACTACAAGTGGAAAATATGGCCAACTTGTGTCAATCAAATATACGAAATATAATTTCTGATCTGTGTCGAAAAATATCCATGATTAAGAAAGTTATGAGTATGCCCAAGGAATAACAAACAGTTTAATTAAAATATTTGGCCTACGGAACAATCGTATAATAAACCCGTAAAACAGAGCAAATTATTCATCACAATTAATTTAAAAACAATGACAGGAAAAAGATAGTTTATGTATTACACACTTATAAAAAATCTTGGCTTTGTCGGATTTAACCATTATAACATATCAAAAATACGTTTATGTCATCCTATCAACAAATAAAAACTAGTTATGCGTTTTTGTTTTTATTTTTCTTAACGTTAAATCAAATACTTCATCCACTACAAGACAGTTATGATCACGTCATTTTTAAATTACGTCCATTGTTAGTAAGACAATCTTCCGGTCATAGACAGGAAAGTAACTTTTGATTGGATTCACTGTTCATATGCCAGATAAAAGGGAAAAGTACGAACTAGCTGCGCTTCGTGCTGGTGTACATTTTAGATAGATAGGTGTGCAACAAAAATAAAAGGTCAATTCTAAGTGATTTTTCAAAAGCAGGTTCAATTTCCCACGGCCTTGAATCTTTACTGAAAGTCGTAATGTTACAGCTAGATGTGAGTACTTTAAGGTTATGACCATGTTAGGTTTTATTTCTAAAAATGCAAAGAAACAATAAATGCTAAAATATAGCAGAAAATTCTGTATTTATCTAAAAAAAAAAGGGTAAAGAAATAACATTCCAAACTAAACCCCATCGAAGACCGAAAGTTTACCAATAAACTTTTTTTCAAAGACAAATTAATGGTTTAGTTTCAAGATATCAATGTAAATGTGCATAAAACAAAATTCGCGATGTTTGAACAACATTATCTACAAGGGACTATAAGAGTGTAATAATTTCAGTAATATTCCGATTTATGGATTTCATCCGCACAAGTGTTGGAAAATCATGTAAATTATAAATTTAAAAAATGTTAAACTCAAATTCAAATAATTTTCATCAACTTTCTAATCCTCTCTAACTGTCTCTCCCATTGAAACCAATACAATAGAAATACTACTCTACAAGAACAGTACACTAGGATAGTTTGGCCATAGCACAGCTGACGCTTCCTAACATTGTATTTCTTTTAATACTATATCAATAAAGTTTATCGACATGTTGTATGTATTCCTATGGGTACTAATTGCACCCCTTTAATATCATACTTGTTCTTGTACTGCTATGAATCACAGTTTATGACCAAACACAGTACAGACCCGTCTAAATTGCATTTAATTGATAAATTCAACAATACTTACCGTTATCTTGATGATATTTTTTCGTTGAATAATCACGAATTTTCTAAATATACTGCCGAAATTTACCCAAAGGAACTTACTTTAAATAAATCAGATAGAAACGGTAATAACTGTCCTTTCCTAGATTTAAATATTTCTGTTTTACACGGGAAACTCTACACTACGACAAAAGGGACTATTAATCGTTCACTATTGTTAATTTTCCTTTTTTGGACGGTGATGTTCCCTTGGCACCATCTTATGGTGTTTATATATTACAACTCGTTCGCTATGCCCGTGTCTGTTGTGACGTGGATTTCAACGAATGTAATCTATGTATTACTGGTAAATTATTAAGTCAGGGATTTCGTTACCACAAATTATTTAAAACCTTTACTAAATTCTTCCATAGATATAAATATTTGGTTTTGAAGTTTGGTTGTACCTGTAGAAAACTGTTCAAACGGGATAGCACAATCTTATTTTTGCAGAGATGTTGTTTACCAAGCCCGGAAATTTAGATACGATCCGGATAAACTTACCGATCCTTTAAATAAATTTATTCTAAAAGGTTACCAATTCAACACTGTAATTAGATCTTTGATTATTGTTTTTATTGGTATTAATATTGATTTGTTATCAGTAAATTAAAATCTAACTAAATATCATTTTTATATACATATACACATTCATGGCTTTACAATCTGTCGATACCTGTATTTTTGCATTGCACAAGGTCATGTTTTTCTCTTTTTGACTGTTAATGACGTCTCTATACTAAATCCATTGGATGTTGCATATGTACTGATTGATATTTTAGTCTTAGATGCATGATTATTAGTTGTTATTGGCTTTGAACTAGCTGCCAGTAACTACGAGTATTCTCAGATATGTACTTAGTGTCTTTTTGTTGTGGGGATGTATAAGTACCCTGCCACGTCAAGTCTGTGTTTTTGTTAGATGTATTTCTATTTGTATCCATCTGATGAGTTAAGCTTTTTTCAACTGATTTTTATATTTCGTTCTTATGTTGTACTATTACACCACTGTCCCAGGTAAGGGGAGGGTTGGCGCCTTCAAACTAGTATAACACTGCCACATACTGTAAGTGCCTGTCCCAAGTCAGGAGTTTGTAATTCAGTGTTTGTCGATTTTTGCTGTGTATTATATTTGTTTTTCGTTCATTATTTTGTACATAATTAGGCCGTTAGTTTTCTCGTTTGAATTGTTTTACGTATGTCATTTTGGAGTCTTTTATAGCTGACTATGCGGTATGTGATTTGCTCATTGTTGAAGGCGATACGGTAACCTATAGTTGTTAATTTCTGTGGCATTTGGTCTCTTGTGGAGAGCTGTTTCATTGGAAATCATACCATATCTTTTTATTTTCATATATACAATAATACTGTTTTTAAAAAGATGAGAGAAAAATTTTGTTGCTTCTAGCACATTTATATTATAGGAAGTGTAAGAAAGCTCACATTTAGGTTTGACCTATCTGCAAAGCAGACAAATGACTAATGACTGAAAAAACTATGCAGAACTGATACTATTCCTGTGTCTAATTTTTGCTATAATCAGACAGCATGGGAGCATGTTCGTCAATTATTTTAAAAAAATATTTCTTTTCCATTTTTTTCATATAAAATGCAAGCCAGAGACAATTAAACAAAAATCCTCTTTCTCGAAAAAAATTACACGTGAAAATGTTTCTAACATTTTATTTTAACAGGAAATAATTTTTAATCCCGTGTTGGTATCAGACGGAACCAGTCGACATGATATGAAGCAAGGGGAGTTAAATGACTGTTGGTTCCTTTCAACTTTGTCTGCGATTGCGGAAAAGCCGCAGTTGATGGAAAAGGTAATTGATAAAAAATATGTTATATCCTGAAATGTGTGCTTCCTTTCAAAATATTTACATAAGGACATCATCACCATTAATTGCTGACATGAGTTTAATTGGCAAAACGTTTGATAATTAATAGGAGGAATATAATCGATTACTTCACGGAAAATAGAATTTTGCGATTTATGTCACGTTTTCCATAATAAGAAGCATACACATGTTACTGAGTATACTTAAGGGATAACAATTGCTGAACTTAAAAGAACTTTGTAAAGAAACTCGTCTTCTGTAACCGCAGTAACATTCTGTTAAGGACATCTTATTTAGTTATTCTTTAAGTTCTAATCCGTTTTCCAGAACATGATATATGATCATTTAAATTTAGAAATGATCTTAGAAATCATTACTTAACTATGGATCACTCAGATTGTTAAAAGCTAATAATACATCATTTAGTTTCGTGTTTTAGATTTCCGTAATTTTTTTTGGTTCAAAATATGACGTTATGTGTCACAAATAGAAACTGGGTGTATCTTGTGACTGGGTAATGTGTTGGCCTGGAACCACACACACACAATAAACAATACGACTAGTCTGTACCGCCTCTGACTCTGGGACTAACTCTTGCAACAAAAGACGACTCTGGTTAGAGCGATGTATAATTTAATAAGTTCAGCATGGAATACAATTGTACAGAGTTGGAACTGCTCAGTGTAATACTAAATCCAATCTGCCACATCAAAATAATAACACAGTTTATATAACAAACCAAAAATTACTAGAATAGACTTGACAAATATTTCTCCAAATGAGTGAGAAAATTCAATTAAGGGATTACAGAAAAATTAGCACATAGATAATAATTAACAATAGAACATATAGACTTATTCATGAAATTAAATACATTAAACATTTACGAATAATAGATCAATTGAAGTAAAATGTCGCTAATTGAAAATCAAATTAAAACATGAAATTGGATTATCTTAATCTTCTAAACTTGACTTAAATCTTTTACAATAAAATTAACAAAATCCCTAAGTGAAATATTGCAAATATAACAAATACAGTGATTTTACAAAATCTTTTACAAAATGTCCGAAAAGTCTCATAATCAATTTTTGTCAATTTTTTTTCACTGCGACAACATATGAATGAACTTTCATCAGCTGTGAAGATTATCATTTTGATTTTTTTAACAAAATAAATGATTTTTTTATAGATCATACCAGTAGACAATACATTCGGAACTTCAGCATATAATGGGAAATTCCACTGTCGGTTTTGGCAGTTTGGAAAATGGGTTGATGTATATATAGACGATTTACTACCAACTGTGAATGGGGATATACTATTTGCTCATTCATCAGATCCTACCGAATTTTGGGTGTCCTTAGTTGAAAAAGCCTATGCAAAGTAAGTAAATTTACGGTTCACTTTTATTCGTGTTCATTCAAGAATGAATACAACAACTTTTAAACAAAACAGCTATTAAACATTATTTGTTTTATTGGAGTAGATCTTAGGTGAATTTGGTTATTTTTATGTCCGTTTTTGTGATATGCATGTAGCATCCTAATGTATTTGACATACAATGTACATCCTTGACTTTTGGACTTTTGCACCAGAGCGTTCCTGATGAAGGTAAATCGAGAAAAACACATTGGAAGCACGAAATTCATAAACTGATATTTCATTTTATATCATCATTTGTCCATACCACAAACGTTTTTGCATCAAATATGTTTAAGACCATAACATTTCACGGTACCGGATGCATTGTACTAGAACGGTATATGGACAACTAAATATAAAATAAGGAGAGGTTGTATGATTACAAATGAGACAAATATCCACCTGATACCAAATCATCACTATTGATATCTTTATGTCACCGTACTGCTTTCAACAATTAGACAAAACTTATACCATATAGTAAGTCATAAAAAGGCACCTGCATACCAAATGTGAAACAATTCAAAAGAGAAAAATGCAGACTTTTTATGTTAAAACAATAAACGAAAATCAATTATGACAGATAGTACAATCAACAACATCCAACTGGATTACAGACTCTTGACTTTGGACAGGCACATGCAGAATGTGACGGGGTTAAATATGTTTGTAAGCTCTAACCTTCCCATAAGCTCGGCCAGTGTGGTGACAGCACAACATAAGAAAAATAAATAGAGAATGTGTCCATGGGACACAGATCAGACGATGTCCCCGCTTGCATATAACATTATAAAGGGACATAACTAGGTTAGGTTTTTTGTTAACCATCCGTCATGTTGAAGAAGGTATTTCCATTCTTGACATAACTCCTCACATATGTGTTACTTATGACGAGCTTTTTACCATTTTTTTAGTAACAACAGCTTCTAGTGGACAGCTGATGTAACATTGTGAATACATTATACATGATATCAGAAGACAGTTTCTGCAATTTGCACATCCTTAAGTCAGCGGAAAACTAACTTTGTTCTTTGGGTTAACGATTTTAATTGAATTCATTTTTAGCATCTTCGTAATCAAGTGCTCTTAAAATGTATATGAATTACATCACTAAGTAACGCCCTCGCATATGCTACTTAAAATGTGTAAGTGGTAAAAGAAATGCCCTCGTTTCAACACTTTATTAATTCGCTTGCAAATTTCTTATCTTAATCTTTTTAATAGAAAGCAAATGTATAAGATTTTGTTAACCATCCATCATGTATAAGAAGGTTTTACTTATCTCAAACTTTACCAATCTGGAAACTGATGCAGAATATGTCAATAACTGTTTAAGTCTTTTCAAACACGTCACTCTTGGAAAAAATGCTAATGTTAAATCAACGATATTATTTTTTCGCCAACAACGATACATTTGTTGCTTGAATTACGTTTTCAGACTTAACAGATCCTACGAAGCATTGGAATATGGGTTCGAAGCTGATGCTTTCACTGATTTGACTGGGGGACTTGCCGAGTGGTACAATCCTGCTGATTTAAAAGAAGAAGATTTCTACCTCATAAGAGCAGCATTTCAGTGCGGAGCTGTTATTGGCTGTTTGAGTGTTGTAAGTTTTAAAGTGGTATTGCTTTTCTTTTGTATAGAACGCTCTTTCTGTCAAAGATATTAAACACGCAGATGTATCAAATATTTTCTAATACCAAGAACTAAAGGTAATTTCTTCTTTGTAGTTGCTTCCTAGCTAGCACTGTTTATTATACATTATGCTTTCTATTCCATATATCCTTCCTGTTTCCATTTACAAAAGTGCATTTTGATATATGTAAATCTACTTAGTATACCTATACATTTCAAAACTAAAATTAAATTTCTATAAGCTTCCTATTGACAAAATATCTAGAGGCAAACCTTATTTTAGTTGCATAACTTAAATATCATTGAATAGCCTTTCTAGTTTTTGGAGATGACCAATCCCTAACATGTGGACACTTAGACTCTATATTGGGCTCTCTCTCTCTGTTTGGTTTCTTCTCCCTTTATTCTTATGTATGTTTGTGCGTATACCTGAAATTATGGTTCATTGATCATTTTATAGGTTTTATATATACATTGTTGCCTTTTCAAACGTTTGGTTTTAGCTTTTGTAATTTAGGTTAATCCTGGGTTTTTTTATGAATGAAGCAGAAAATCAGTTACTTTAAGCTGATAAACCACTTTCAGCAGTTACCTTTTTTTTCGAAAAGAGCGATTTCCAAAACCTTTACATTTTCTGGTAATGAATTAAATCAAAACAAAAATGAACAAGATCGAAATTTTATTTAATTTTTCAAGCTATGTAAGGAATACCAGACAAAACAACATCTGACCACCACAGTTTGCAAACTTGGAGACATTTGAGAAGATTCTCAGTCATAAAACGAAAGTTTCACATTGTAATGAACAAAAACAAAACAAGAATTTGTCTTTGCCTATATATCCCTGACCTTTTTTCAAGATATAGTTAAACAAAACGTCAAAAAAAAAACCCCAACAAAAACAACAACAAAAATAGGCAAAGATGACCTGATGAATTTATGACTGTATTGTTTAGGTCATTTGCTTTGTTTGTCCTTTCACGTTTATATATTTTGCTTTCCAAACTAATGATCCAATTTCTACCCAATGAAGTTTATCCAAGAAACACGCGAAATGCACACAGATATCAGTATCGACCTTTTTATTTTAGCACGGACTGCACTACTGATAATTCATCATGCATTCTATTGCCTGTTTCCAATTCCCTACTGTATATTGCGTGGAATAACCAATTGAAAGCATGGCGCTGTATCTTCCGGCGTGAAGCTTAATGAAGCATATAAATAGTATCAACATATATGGAATAAAAAATCCCGTAAACATGAAAATGAGTGCTTGCATCTTTTGCATTGAAATTTGATAATACAGGCAACCTAAGAATAAAAAGGTTGACTTTTATTTAGGGGCCAGCTGAGGACCACCTCCGTGTGCGGGATTTTCTCGCTGCGTTGAAGACCCATTGGTGGCCTTCAGCTGTTGTCTGCTCTTTGGTCGGGTTGTTGTCTTTTTGACATATTCCCCATTTCCATTCTCAATTTTATGAAATAGTCAATCAAAGTTATAGCACTAGTCTTTACTAACATCGAATATAAACATACCAGTAAAATACCACGATTCTTTTGTGCAGTAAAATTCATCATTCCTTTAATTGAGTAAAATTGAGGGGAAAAAAAACCTTTTCCTGCGTATGACAGCAAATTAGCTTATAATGCAGTCTTTATTACAAGTTGGGTTGCAATCAACGGACGTTGTTATCGTGAACAAATAAAGGACAAGGTTCACTTTAGGCCAAATATGGCCTTGAATTTCAACTTAATCACACAATTTCAAAATAGCTCTAATTTGGATCTTAAATGGATGTCTTCATAAAAGTACATATTTGGCTTCAAAATCAGCTTATTTGGATATATTGTCAAAATACGATGATTTTGTGCACTTTTTGGACCTAAAAGCTTGAGGAAACTCGTGCCGCAACCTAGGATAAAAAATGTTTTGTACCAAAAGTTGCTAAAGATGATATTGAATCCTTGGACACAAAAACATTCTGGATCATGGGTAGCGGCCAAAGTAAATTATGCTAAAAACTGTTAAGAATTATTGAAAATTTGACCAAATATGACCTTACAACACAAATAATGCATACTTAAGGAGTCAATACTTCGTCATGTTTAATGTGATGTGCCAAAATGAAGTTATTTTGTATTAATAGTAATATCACAACTATTTATATGTGAAATTTGTAGTTTTTTGCCTGACTAAAAAAACATCAAAATCTTAGGGCCAATTTTAATCCGTCGTAAACTTACTCCTTTCATATTTGCATGTTTTCCATTATTTGGTATCGTTGTAGCTTTCTGGCCTGGTTATTTATGATACAATGAAATACTTCTTTTCTTGGTCTGATCGAAGTTTGTATTGTTTTAGTTTGACGTACCAAAGTGTCATGTTCTGTCACATTATTTTCCGTTGACCTGATCTTGCACATAGTGTTGATATTATTTCAGTTTTGATTTCTCGATTAAGGCCTGTTCTGTAGTTTCCCATGTATTTATAGTTATTCGAATGTCATAAATTTTGGCTATGAACGTTCTGGTGGAGAATAATTTTAAATGCAATCGACTTTGGAAAAAAATCGACATGCTTAACATTGTCAATGTGTTCTAAACTGTCTAACATTATGCAAAACCAAATTAATACAAGTTGGTTAACGGCTACTATTGTGTATTGAAATCGTTATAAAGAATAACTGTACTCCCTTTACTACATGATTCCCCATATAAAAATCCCAAAAATACAAATCGTGAACAATTAATAATTTAATCCCATGCTTTGCCTAATTATGAATTATGGTAGCTATTTGGTCATGTAATATTATCAGTTTATTAAACTGTATTAGTGGGGGTGTATAACGTCTTTGATCTCTCGCAAATTTGGTATATCTTTATTAGTTCTCTCGCCAATTAGGTACAACTATTACATGTATATATAAGTATGAACGTTTATATATAAAGTTTGAACGTTTATATATACACTGTTGATATAAATTCTTTCACGCTATTAAAACAAATGCCTCTAATTCCTTTTTCTTAATGTTCAGCCAAACAGGGTAATAAACAAAGACATGATGTTGGTCTCTTTCATGTCTTCCTTAATAATAATTTGACGAATACATTTTATTGCACATGCTTCCCTTTAATTAGTGATGATATTTTGTTTTTATTCCGGGCGTAATGGCACTACAAGTATTCGGTTTTTTTTCAACACTAAATTTGAGAAAGCAAGGCCGAATGTTGTCATAATAGAAATAAATTCCTTGTTTCCCTTTCATGTTTTTGCATACGCCTTTTTATCAATTTTTATGACAACTGAATGGAGATGTATGACATGTACATGTTTATAGGATAATTTTATTGTTTTGAAAGGATTTTCAATGAAAACTTTTATAGGGTCAGTAACTTTAAAAAAAAATTTAAAACCAAAACGGAGATAATAAACTTTAACTCTTGCGTTATAAGAGTACAGGGTAAAGATCTACTATCTTTTGGTATCGAAACACTAGTGAAAATTAATGCAACAAAGCGAAAACACATATACACCTTATTAATGTATTAAATTAACACGAATCGATTTGTTTGTTGTTGAAGACTATATGTTGACTTCTAAATGTCTGTCTCATTGCCGTATATGCAACCTCTCATTTTATTCATATTTATATCTTGATCCTTCAAAATCCGCCACTAAATTCTTGTCTAAGTTAGTTTATTGTAGCAAGTACATTTAGTACGTAATCTAAAACAAATATTGTCTAAAATAAAATTTAAAACATAACTAAATATTATTTCTATACAGCTACGAACATTTACGGTCCTACATTCTGTCGATTCTTATACATGACATTGCACAATATCATGTTTCTCAGTCTGTTTGTGACATCTTTACACTAAATGCTTTGGTCTTAGATGCATGATTGTTTTATTAGTTGTTATTGACTTTGAACTAGCTTTTAGAAACTGTGAGTACTCTCAGATCTGATCTGTGTGCCTTAAGTCCTTTTGTTAGTTGTTTTTGATTGTTTTGTATATATAAAATTAATTGAACTCTTTTTAATTGATTTTTATTTTTTGTTCTTATGTTGTGAAGTTACACCACTATCCAAGGTTAGGGAGAAGATTGGGTGCCCGCAAATATGATTAATCCCGCCACATTCAATATGTGCCTGTCCCAAGTCCGAAATGGTTGTCGTTGGTTGTTGTAACTGTTTATCATACTTGTTTTTGTTTATTGTTTTGTATAGTTTGTTTTTGTGTTGTGCTGTTGCACCATTGTCACAGGTTGGGGAAGGTTTGAGTGCACCAAAACATCATGAACCCTGCCACATAATGCATGTCCCTGTCCCAAGTCAGGAGCCTGTAATTCAGTGTTGGTTGTCGTTTGTTGTTGCATATCATATCTGTTTTGCGTTTGTTGTTTTGTAGATAAATCAGACGGTTTGTTTTCTCGTTTGAATTTTTTAACATTTGTCATGTCGGGTCATTTTATGACTTGCTGTGCGATGCATTATTGTTGTTCATTTTCGAAGACCGTACGGTGACCTATAGTTGGTAACTTGTACGTCATTTGGTCTCTGGTGAAAAGTTGTTTGTCTCCTTGGCATCCATACCACACCTTATTGCTATTATAATGAAACAAGCGCATATATAGCTTGCTATGTGGTACGGGTTTTGCTCATTGTCGAAGGCCGTACAGTGACATATAGATGCTTACTCAAACGTCATTTAGTCTCTGGTGTAAAGATTCAATTGTCAACTTCCCATTTCCCCCTAAAGATTTGCGAGGAAGGAAGACTGAAATCAACACTGCATACTATATAGTAAATGTTGCGATCACCGTCATGATTTGGCAGACCGATACAAGATGTGTGTTCCTCTACTCATTAGTGATATGTTTTCGCAGTCTTAGATCTTAGATACCAGACTAGACGTCTAATTTGTAATTTTACCGATGGTGTCCGATTCCCGATTGTGAAATATTGACTGAGTGTGGATTGGCGGATGCATGCATAGCACGATTTGCTTACTATCTTCTAAATGTCTGTGTTTGATTGTATTCTTGTATTTGTAATCGATTTTCAAGATTTAAATATCGGTTAACTGCTGTTGCCTAAATTCCATTCAACACATTGATATCGTTAGTGACTCTATAAGGATTATTCTCTGGAATCAAAAGACATAGTTGTTTTACTCTCAGATCTTCTTTGTAACTTTAAACAAATAAAATAAAATGTCTTTACTCTTACAAATCCGGGAGTCTGTATATGAATGTTAATACGAATCGAAACCATATATATTAGTAAATTTAATTTTCATAATAACTTTTTGAACAATTTATCATTTTGACAGTCAATACTTTGTTTTCGTTAATCAAGAAAAAAAATGGATAATTTTCAGAAACATCGATAGTACCAACGTTTTACTAATCAAAGTGTAACCTTTAGATGTTTTTGATCATGCGCATGGAAATTATCAATGCAAGATAAAAAAAAAAAAGCTATTAATAACTACTCGACTTTGAATGAATTACAATTTGTCAAATCACCTTGTTATGTCTTATCGCTCTTGCAAAAAACAAAGTTTCCATACGAATGAAAGGAAACAGTACACATAGAATTTTATAGAACAATTAAAAATGTGATGACACTGTTGATTGCATGTATCTCATTGAATTTGAAATGCAGGATATCATAGATACGGTAGGTGCACAAGTAATGGAAGTTAAATTACTTGAATGATTAATGAAATGTTTCCACGATGTATATTAATGTTGCGTTGTTTTACAAGCTGTAATTTTACTCTGACATGTCTTACTATGTGAATTAAACTAAAAGAATTGAAGGTGTATCATGCATAGTTATATACTCGTTTGTGGTAATCGCAGTTGCAACTTTATCTTTAGACAACATGCTATTTTCATGATTTGTAAAATGTCTTCAAATTTAGTCTCCATGATAAGTAGAAGCAAGAGGAATGTCTGATCCATTGCCTTGCAGGAAAATTAAATGGTTTTAAAACCCTGAAATAAATACTTGCACACGATAAATAACAAAGATAAGCATAAATGTAAAGAACATACATCGCTGAAAACTAAATTTAGGCAATACATATTGACTTACAGACAGGATTGTAACCAGTCGTTCCTGAAAGTCATATACAGTGGTCCAAATATAGTCAAATCGATTATTAAGTTTTCAACAAGTATAACATGCATTGCAAAGTACACAATGTGCTTGAAAGAGACACTTCTTATATCAAAGCTTGAGATCCTTTTGAACTACTATGTAAAGTTTTGATATATCTTTAAAACTCAGCAGCAAAAATGAATATAAAAAATTGCCATTTGCCTACTTTGTAGTTATTTTTGTGTGTTAACATTACTTACTGTTTTGGAGCACTCTATATCACCCACGTATTTTTGGTGGGGTTCATCTTTAATTTTCTATGTAGCATTTGTAGACTATTGTTTTCTTTCGTCAATTTTTGTTTTTTGCTATGGTGTTGTTGGTTTCTATTCGAATTTTGATTATCATTTTTGGTATCTTCCGCTTCTTTTTTTACTGTTTCAATACCAAACCAAGGTTTCAGCAACCTCAGGAAAGGCTTACTAAAATTAAGTTGACTATTCGTTTTGGTACCTTTTGATCATATAGTGCCCAATGATTCTACATATTTATTCATGACTAGCCTTTAAATTTTGTTTAGTTTTGAGAGTTACTGGTGAAGGTTAACCAGAAAAACGCTTGGGACGCACGAAATTATTTGCTGTTACAAAATTTTGGAAATTATTCTAAATTTTAGGATAATATTTTCCTCTTGCAAAGCTCTGATGCTTCCAAGCTTTGTCTGTACCTTTTGTCCTTTTTGGTTTATAAGCTCTTCATTTTTCTACAAACTGCTGACATAAAGTTTTTCAGCGTCCTTCTAAAGTGCAAGGTGTAAAAGAAAATGCATAAAACGTAACATTCGGTTCTACATAGTCTTTTATCTGTTTTTTTTTAATCAAATATTTTCGCACTCATTTTCATATTCACACTATCATTCTTTTTTTTCTTATTCGTAATAGTCTTTTTGAGTTTCTGCTTTATTTATTTATTCTTTTTTCTGCATTTCCTAGGATTTGTCAAGGAAAAGTTTCTCATATCACTTACAGAATGGTTGTTCGCTGGATAGTATTTGGAAAAAAAATCATGTTTTCTTTTAACGATATTATTTAAAATGAACCAATCTTTGGCATTTATATAATCTTTCTGTCTCGCTTTTATCCTCTGTGTTTCTTTCAGGGATGTCGAATTAGAATCAAAGTTGAGGTAAGACAAGAATGTTTTGGCATCGATAAATGATTGTCATTTGCTATTAACTTTATATTTATCACGATGATTTTACATATACACATTATATAGTATTGTAAATAAACATTCACTTTTACGCTAATGAAATATAAAGTTGACGTACATGTGCATGATAGCGACACTAAGCGAATTGTAGTCATGTTTTCTTTTCCATTTTCATTTTGAAAAACAATAAAGAAGTATTAAGAATGCATATTTTCTTTAACATTTATACATTGTAGCACAAAAAAATAGAATGGAGACAATAGAATTCATGCGTTTAGGCTGTTGTTTGCCTCTTCTCATTTGATATTGATGTCTAAATCATTATTCAGTTATATAATGTATTCCTATGCGTATATAGATTGAACCAGTTGAGTATTCATCCTATACAAACATGGACAGGGATGTAAATATCACCATATCAATGGTATACAGAGTTCATGCATGTGCTTTTTCATTCATTGCGTGAAAGGAAGAGGATAAACGGAACTTTTCATTCAGCTTCAGATAACTAGATTATGTACTATTCCAAATAACTTTCAGTTCAGATATAACCTGCTTTTTATTTTTAAATCTCAATAAGCTAGAAATCAAACCTGTCTTCTTCCTGCTTTCTAATATTTGCATACCAATTGGTTGCAAAGGGTGGCTAAAACAAAAATGTGCTTCCAACGTAACGTTAAGACCTATAAAAAAGTAAAATAACAAAAATACCGAGCTCCAAGGAAAAATCAAGTCGTAAATTCCCTTATCAAATGGATTACTATAGTAATTTGCATGTCTCCTGTGTATTGTATTTTTCATTTCACAACTATTTTTTTACACAAGAGCATTTGTCACTTATAGGGATTTTCGAACAAACTATATAGCTATCTCAAAAGGTACTGTTAGGATTACAGTTAGACAGAAATGGTGACGTCATATCAAACGTACCAAGTTCAGCATTACGAGCTGATTGGCCATCATATATCTACCGCCACTAAAACCTTCTAAAATGTAATGTTTCCCTTTCGCATACCGATTTTGACTCAAAAACAGATATTAGAAATTACTAAGTAGAGGACAGTTTAAAAGGCGCGTCTACATGCTTACCCTTTCGGAATATCTTATATACGTCCCAGTTGCGTATACGAGTTTGTTTAGTTTAAAGTAGTGTGCGCTGCCTATAAATGAATTTATTGATAATCAAATGGTTGCTATTCATCCTTTTTGGGGATCATCTTGTATCCGTTAATGGATTATCTACCTGAAGCTTGTTATTGAGTCGTTTTTCTATTCTTCAATATTAATATGTTTATCATAAATGTTTAAAGGAAAACAGATAAAGTCTTCTCGAAACCGTTTATTTGTGAAACTGTCATTTTGAACGTAAATGTCACAATGCAACTTTGGATAAAGGAGGAAAAGAAGAGCAAACAAAATATATGGTCCAAAGAAACAAATATAAGTTCACAAGAATAGCTTGACTATCGTTATAGAAACAATATAGTTAAAACTGGCCTAAATTGTAGTAAGGTCAAATTAATCTTTCGAAAACATGGTGAAAAAAAGAAGTGTACAATCCTTAGCCACCATTACGTAATCTAAGAATAGCATGTATTAGAAAAATTGCTTCACTAATGCATGTGGCTAGTGATCACCAGGAAACTTTGATTGGAATTTGCAGACTTGAAGGAAAGCGTTTAGTTGTCACACACCGTTTACTTCCTTTTCACGGAATGTTTTTGTTTCAGATTTTAGCTTCTTTCTACAACTATAATTTTAGTTTTCAAGCACATATACTTATATCTTTAATTGTTGTGTTTTTTTGGCAAACCTATTTAAAAGTCATTTATTAAGTTTTCATAGATTTACCTCAAACAACAAAATTGATTTTTGTAACTTTATCAATTAAAATTTAGTTGACGGTTTTGATACAGGTGAGTGATTCCCTGAATTTTTTCCAGAAAAAAAGGCCAAAAGGATTTTTCCTTAACCATTTTTTTTTTAAAGAACATTATAGTATAGAAATGAAGTTTTGGTAGAGTTTTTGCAAAAAAAGAATATTTCTTAATAATTACCGTTATTCAAAGGAAGAATATCATTATTGGCTGTGTTCAAGTTGCAAATTAAACTTAAAAGAGAAGATGGGAGACAGGGCCATTTTATATCTGATCAAGGTATGAAAACACATGAACACTGAACTTAAATTGGTCTTTTTGTAAAACTCTAAAAAGAGATGTAGATATGCTTCCTTATATATTACAATTCACGGTACATGCATTATAAAAGGAAACAATGATTAAATGATATAACCAAGTGTGAGATGGAGACAAGGAAAAGATATAGATTTATAAAAAAACATCAAGATAAACCATTACATGATAAGACAAATAAATTTAATGACCACTATATTTGCCAAATGCTTTGCATCTTATTGTAATACAGCACGTTTTATTTCATCAAGGCTCTATTACCCTGGTTTTGTAGCTATTAGTTTTATTACTTATATATACTATCATTGTCAAATTTACTGTGTATATTTTTGGACAGATAAGAACACGAATGCACACTTTGTAGAAAACAGTTTTACAAGTAATATATATTATCTGTCTTCTACTCACAGAAGTCCAAATTCTTATTTATCTTTTTTTGGGTAACAAACATTATTAAGGCTAATCTTAATTATCATGGAAGTCTCTTTTATTTGACAGAAGACAATCGTTTTCCTATATAGACGGACCTATAAATAAATATATAAACTACCAAAACGTTTTAAAATGTAAAAAGTATAGATACAACAAATATTCAGAAAAATTTTTGACCTAGCATATCTGTTGAGAATTATTCCTTAAAGACTTACCGTGCGCGCTGATACCAAACGTTTACATTAAAAACAGAAAATACGGAATCTGTCAAAGATATGCAGGTTGTGTGCTTATATTGGTTAATTTACTTTAAATGTTTTATTTTTTGCCACCAGTAATATTTGACATCAAGATTTTGACAAAGGTGAGATGGTCAAAATAGACAATGCAGGGATCATTAACTTGATGAAAATTGATTTATTGATTTTGAATAAAATATTTATATTGAATATATTAGAGGGTAGAAATTCATACTCTCAGTAGAAAAATATTCCTGACATATTACTTGTTGTATCAATCTATCTTCCATGTTTACCCATTCTCACTTCGTTTTAGGTTTATGCAATTCCCTCGGGTTTTTTTTCTTGGTTTGTTTATTCATAATGAATTTACGTGTTTTGAACATCAGTAAACTTCCGTTGCTTATTTGTCAACAGGTATTGATATATTTCTTTAGTAATTTACTGGTTTTAGATGTTTTATTTTCTCAAATTGCTCTGAACGAAAAACATGCTAAAAACCTTCAAGAAGTCTGACATTTTTCCATCCAGGATAAAGGCGATCGTGATGAACGGGAAAAGAAAGGAATGGTGTCCAACCACAGTTATGTCATTACCGGAGTGGAAGAAATCCCTTACTTACAAAATACTGCTAAACTTATTCGAATGAGAAATCCTTGGGGTGATACAGAGTGGAACGGTGCTTGGTGTGACGGGTAAATTTATACATACGTATTTTTACATTGTAAACATGTATGCAATACGTATACGGATATTATGACATTATTTTTTTAAATATTGCATATATTTTACTAAAAGAAAGTTATGAAGCTCAAACTCAAACTTTATTAAACAATGTATCCACACCATATTGAAAATTAATGATTAGATTAGACAATATTCGAACTGTTATATTACAATAATGTAATATGACAAAAAATGTGCATATTGCTTCACTCCACCAAGACTTTGCCGAAGTATATTGAGACAATCAGTTGTTTCCTGACGTTACAAAATTGGCCAAAGAAAAAGTATAACAAAATTACCGAACTCTATTGATGTTGCTTTCATTCATCACGTGGTCAAATATTATACGGAATTTTGAAAATAAATGTACATGTTAAATTCTTGTTTTAAGGAGTGACGAGTGGTGTCACGTACCTGAATCTGTACAGTTAGAATTAGAATTAAAGACACAAGATGATGGGGAATTCTGGATGAATTATAGAGACTTCAGGAAAGAATACTGCAATATGATTGTTTGCAACTTGTCTCCTGATTTTGACCATGATGGAATAAGTGATAAAGCAGGTATGTTCAAACATAAGAGAAAATTCTATTATGTTAGAGAAGCACCAACAAATAGTGTATAAACGCTAGGGGCCGTCTTGATCTAACTGTGATGTGTTATCTTTGCTCCATGTTGCAGGTCACTCTGTAACTTTGGAAAGAAAAAATAGTAATAATAATGCTGGTCAGTTGCTTTTAGCGAATAGGTGTAGTGATTATAATTGTTTTCAATATATTAACAGAGTTCGTTTCGTGTGTCTCGTGCTGTATGGAGACCGTAAAATGTTTCCCCGTTCTCCTATATTTTCAACATTATGGCGTTAGGTATATGTACTACTCCACTATCTCTCTCTATCAATATGTTGTTTTTCAGAATTTTTTTAATTTCATTAAAATGTATCAAGAATTTGTTAGATTTCTTTGACGGATATAGTTTGTTGATATTATCCCCCAGTAGTGTTGTTAAATACACAGATGTAGCGTGATCGACTTTTAGCTCAAAAGGTATAACAAAAATACCGAACTCCAAAGTAAATCCATTTAAGTCCATAAAAACTGTCAAAATTGAACGATGGACTTTATCAACCAAATTTGAACTAAGAAATCCTCTCAATCCGCCTTGAACTACTTGTGAGCCTTTACTCCAAATTGAAGGTCAGAATGACTTTCAGAATGAAAAAAAGTAACACAAGCGCTGTTCCTGTGCTTTTGGTTTTGTCAAGTTTTGTGTAGTGATTTTGCACCATGTATAAACTGAAGACTAAACTTGTAGTTAAGCTTGCAACGGATCTCAATCGTAAGCTTCAGAAAAACCATTTATGATTGTTTTGAAAGGATAAATAATTTCCAGATAATCAATTGCGATGTTATAGCACTTTGTCAAAATTTTGCGTGTAGTTAAATCAATAAAAGGTAAAAGAGAAAGAAACAACGTCATTTTAAAGGAAATAAAAAATCGATAACCGGAAGGCAACACGGGGTGATGCAACTAAAAAAGCAAAAGGACCGATGTACAACAATCAGAGAGAATCAGCAATTTTCTAAAAGTATATTCCTATTTAAAACAGAATATCAAACCAAAATCCTGGTAAAACCGTGATCATAGCCCTAAAAAGAAATGAAGTACTGGATGCGATTTGTTTAGTCCATATTCCGTGTCGCTGGAAACAAACAATGACACATTGTCACTCTATGCTCCTTAAGTTTTAGATTACAAACGATTGCACTGTATATGTATACCTTTTAAACGACTTTAATCTGTTCAAATGTCTCAAACCTGAAAACATATTTGAGCATGACCATGTTTTACGGGGAGTGTGGTTAGATAGGTTTATATTTTTCATGTACTTATAGATTGAAATGGTCTTTTCTTTAACATATTGCCTTTCTTATCATTTTATATTTTCATTACATTTATCTTAGTGATTATAAGATTTAATTACAAAATGCGTCTTTTCAACGGAACATTATATATTGATGGTTTGTTGTATAATGCTTACTTGAGTATAGAAAAGCATATTTCAACTTTACATGGAAACGGAAGTACTTTGATAAAAAATAACACTTTAAACGTGTTAGCCAGAGACAATAGACAACAGGTAACAGGACAGCTGTATGAAAAAACAAGATTAAATGTTTATAATCAGAGAAGACTTTAAACTTTGTGTTATACACAAACCAGTAGTGATATCAATTTGCTTGTACCCCTTATTGGTAAATATAACCTGCTTAAGACGTTATGCGTATTATCGAGTCAGAGTGATGAGAGGAGAAAATAGTAAGTGTAAAATTGTCGAAATAGACAAGTAGCAATCGGGACGTTTTGTTCAGTCAATGTAGATGTTTCAGTACTTTATTTTACTCTAAGAGTCTACTTAATTGTAGGAAAATGACTGAATAAATTATATATATCTGAAACATTGGGGCGAATAAAGCTTTGTATTAAGTGTTACGACTAGTATTTCTACTTGATTTGGGTTTTTTCATATATACTTCTTAAACGATGATCGTAAATGAAACATAATTTACTGAGTTATGTCAACTTTGAGTAATAGCAACCGTGAATTCAAAAACGTGAACACCAGGTTATCATTTTAAGAAATTAAAAAGAATAAAAAAGGTATTTTTTTGGAATTCATCGTATAATGCGAAGTGGATTTGCCGTTTTTTGTTTTTTTTGTTAGTTTTTTGGTTTTGTTTTTGTTTTTATTTTTTTGGCCAATGTTAACACAGATGGCAATTCAATCTAAATCTTTAAGTGTGTAACTAATATATACGCACTATGCCAAAGTTCATATTTGATTTGTATTAAACACAAATTGCTCGTGTATAATAAAGGCAACAGTAGTATACCGGTGTTCAAAAGTCATAAATCGATTGAGTATCTGATACATAAACACAATTTGACGCTTTATATCTAAATTTAGTTTGTAATAATTTTACACTGTATTAGATACATAAACGTAGTACATAGGCACTTTTGGTATATAACTGTTTATGCATAAGAGCGATTCATTTAAATTTAAATTTTGAATATCATGAAACAGAAATATCATTTAATAGTTGATGAGGGTTATATTTTACAATAATTTTAATACTTGTTTATTTATGCTACATAACACTAAGGCATCTGATTTGTGAGTGAATTCAAAATATTTTTATATATCTCAACTTGTACGACTCACTCGTTTATGTAACAACGTATTAGATTTTAAAGAAAGAAATCTATGTATTACCGAAAAATTAGTACACCAGGGTTTTCGATATCACAAACTAGTCAAAACATTTACTAAATTTTATCATCGGTATATTCTTTACAAAGCACAAAAATGTCGGCATTCACATCTAAAGCTAACAAAACCGTTAAACAGACTTATTAAAGGATATAGTTACGATACTGTTGTCAGGTCATTAAAAATGGCATATTTTGGCTTTAATATTGATTCACTTATAGGGTCTTTGAATCGGAAATAAACACATTTATTCTAAAACCAGTTGTTGGCATGATACGGGTTATGTTCTTCTCATATATTTTATGATGGTATGATACTAAACCCCTAACGGGAGGTATTGTGCTTGATATTCATATGATGAAGACATCATCTTTCAATCAGTTTCAGTGAGGTCTGGAGCTGGCATGTCAGTAACTGGTAGTAGTCCTTTGTTAATTTATGTATCATTGTCATTTTGTTTAGTTTCTTTTGTTACCTATTCTGACATCGGACTCGGGCTTCTTTTAAACTGAGTTTTACTGTGCGTATTGCTGTGTGTTTGTTTTTTTCTACATTGGCTAGAGGTATAGTGGGAGGGTTGAGATCTCAAAAAACATGTTTAACCCAGCCGCATTTTTGCGCCTTTCCCAAGTCAGGAGCCTCTGGCCTTTGTTAATCTTGTTTGATTTTTAATTTTAGTTTCTTTTATATATTTCGGAGTTTAGTATGACGTCCATTATTACTGAACTAGTACATATTTTTGTTTAGAGGCCAGCTGAAGCACGCCTTCGAGTGTGGGATTGTCTTGCTGTATTGAAAACCTATTGGTGGCCTTCGGCTGTTTTCTGTTCTTTTGTCGGGTTGTTGTCTCTTTGACACATTCCCTATTTCCATTCTCAATTTTATTTCCTTACTCTGTTGTGATAACGTATCTGTATTCCTTAAAAGAGTTCAAACTTTCATTTGTCGTTATATTTTAAACTGAGTTATGACACATTTATTTCTATGACTACCATCAAACAAAAGGTCTATTGCTTGACTGCGTTCTTTTTTCAGTCTCATTTTATTTTATCTCTATCCATTTAATTTCCTGAAATACCAACAAAGAACAATAAAATATAAAATCTGATAATATATGTTCATCATAGAAGACACGAGTGTTGCATAAAATAAATACTTGAGCCTTTTTGAATTCACGATAGTTCTTTTATGTTGCTGGAAAATCTGTATCGTTAAAAATGATTTACGTCACGCATGTCATTTCTAGACGGACTCTATTCAAAAGTTGGTTATTGAAATAAAGTTTAATATGACATTGCGCTTTAGTTTGTTAGATAGTTATTTTAGTAACATTAAAGTATTTCTAGGTTGGTAATTATTGATGTTATTGCTGAAAAAGCACTAAGAAAAAAATATATACAAAAAGCTAAAACAAAGACATCAGGTTGATAATAACGTTTCTTTATATTTTCCAATTGTACGTTAGTGGGGTTTTTTAATTAATAAATGGGACATAAAAATATGATTTTTCTCTTGATCCTGAAAAGCAATTTTACCTTATAAAACATATACGTGCTGAATAGTAAATAAAGATCGAAAAAAATTTAAAAAATCTAAAACAAGGAACCAAATGAACATTTAGGAAGCTTTGGTCGATAACTTCACAACTATCAAAAACAAAACTGCAAGATCACCTTTCAAATACTTTACACAGACATGTTTGAATTACAGAGTATCAGTTGAATCTTTATGGTAGATGGGCACGTGGATTAAATGCTGGTGGATGGCTTGAGTGTGAAAGTTTCCATACAAATCCACAATATATTCTTACCCTCCATACAGACAGTAAGTTTATCATTTAATTTTCAAAAACACAATTTGACGCTTCATATCTAAATATAGTTTGTAATAATTTTACACTGTTTTAGATACATAAACGTAGTACATAGGCAATTTTGGTATATAACTGTATATGCATAAGAGCGATTCACTTAAAATTATATTTCGAATACTAGTATCATGAAACAGAAATAACATTTAATAGTTGATAAGGATTATATTTTACAACAAATTTAATTCTTTGAACAAATTCTCTGAAAATAAATTTTTCCAGTTGAAAAACAACCAAGACAATTAAGATATCATGTGTTGCATTGTAAGTACAACTTAACAATACATATATTCTTCATTTTTCAGTAAACGTTCAGCGACGATTTAATGGTCGTCTTCCGGTTGTTGTATCATTACTACAAGTCTTCCAAAGGCAGCATAAATTAGATGGTGGGGAAATGTTCGCCATTGGATTTGAAATTTTTCAGGTATGTATGTGATAATAACAACATTTTGTCAAAACCGCATTCTAATGAATAAATGATTACACGGAAATTTCGAATATTTCTTTTCTTTGAAATCCAAACACACACACACACACATAATAATATAACTATATTATCCGTATTTCAGCTTTTTAACAAGCCAACTGTTGCACTTACCAAAACATTTTTTGATCATAATGATCCACTTATGCCTGAAAATGAAGAAACATATGCTGAATATAGAGAGACCTCGGGTCGATTCTTCCTTGACCCAGGACAATACCTCCTTGTGCCAACTACACAGCAAATTAATCAACAACGGTCATATCTCTTGCGATTATTTAGTGTAAGCAGAATGGAATGCGTGTAAGTATAATATTAATCCACACGCACATTTAGATAGCTTCTGATCTTTTCATAGAATTGCAATTTCAAATCAGATATATATGGTGGCCGGATGTGGCCATTTCGCGTTTTCGCGTTTTCTCCTTTCACTTTAACGCGAAATCGAGAAATCAAGAAATCGGGAAATCGAGAAATCGAGAAATCGAGAAATCGGGAAATAGAGAAATCAATAAATCGGGAAATCGGAAATAGAGAAATCGAGAAATCAAGAAATCGGGAAATCGGGAAATCGGAATTAAAGAAATCGAGAAATCAAGAAAGCGAAAACAAGAAAACGAGAAAGCGAAAACGTGAAAACGGGAAATAGATTTCTCGATTTCGCGTTTTCGCTTTCTGGATTTCTGGATTTCCCGATTTCTTTTTTTCCCGATTTCTCGATTTCGCTTTCTCGATTTCCCGATTTCTCGATTTCTCGATTTCCCGATTTCCCGATTTCTCTATTTCGCGTTTGCAAAGTGAAAGGAGAACACGCGAAAACGCGAAAACGCGAAATGGCCGCATCCGGCCACCATAGATATAACAGCATTACTACACAAGTACCTGAATACCTGAATAAGACTTATTTCTAGAAGTTGAGGCAAATATGAAAATAGCAAGACATCGAAAAAGACCGATTCGTTGAATAAATGTGTATTTTAGTGAGCTGTAATATCTTTATTTTGAATGTTTCATTTCCCCAAAAAAAATGTTATATTACATTGTATTTTACTTTTTGGAGATCTTATACAGGCTTACTGTTATTCTAATGTTTTCCATTTTCGATTGTACGATTATAAGTACCTGTTGTTAAATGTATGCAGTAATGCACGTCATATGCCCTTAATATAGTATGAAGTTACCTACTAGTAATAATTTTTGTCTTATATTTTTCAATTTATACATGGATATCTAAGTCTTAACAAAGAACGGTCGACATCTGTTTCATTAATAATGTTATAATGCCTGATTATCAATCTATTTCTCATCAACCTTCTGGCAAATACTGTTATAAAGCATAATTTTTTCAACAGATCAATCACAATTTTCTATAAATATTTTTATAATCACCAGTCTGCTTAATAATTTAAACAAAAGAGAAAAAAATGGGGTTTCAATCTGCTCTGTTTGTTTATAATGTTAAATATTGCATCTTTACTCCAGTCTTTGACGTTCATTTCATCATGTGCTCAGTTATCAATATTTTTTTTAAAGTTCAGATGCTATCTAAATGCTAAAGGATGAATAATCTCGGACAGATTTATTTATACATGGATGGAAATATCATCGGTTCTGTAGTGAATTCTTGTGTAATGAAATTTGAATTTTTAATTTTTAACTGAAATTTTGATATTATAAACTGATCAAACTAAAGAGAAGTCACTTTCCGAAAGCAATTAGCATCTAAAACATACTTCCTACGCGTTCAAACGTGCCACCCCTTAAGGATGATTTCAATAACACTCAAAATTATTTTTTTTATAAATCAACCTTTGGAATATTCTATCGCTATCTAATAATTTTGTAACCTGCTATGTTCTAAAAAGCTAAATATTTTACTGTGTTTTATTCTTTATTCTTTGTTTTATTTTCAGTCCTCTTGACAACGTCAAAGAAGGTCTAAGTGAAGAGTCAGGAACGCCATCTTCACATCAAAAGCATTGATCAACAGTCTAGTTAACTAAATAGATAATATAATTGAACATTCTGCTGTAATAATGACTAATGTAATGTAATATTTAGGAATCTGTTGTTGATAAAACATTTCCAACAGACACTTTGCATTCGTTGCTTCCAAGCTTGATGTTAAAGATGAATATTCAATTGGCATGAGCCAAAGGAAAGATTGCCTAGATAGAGAAATCTGAGTAGAATGAAACTATTCATATTTACATTAACGGATTAAATATTATGAGGCTGGGACATTAATAAAGGTAAGCTGAACGACGACGACTTCATCCTAACGTTTAGTATTTAAGAAAACAAACTTGATTTCGTAGAATGATTAGTGTACTTGGTCCCACACAATGCTTTTTACTAAGCCGTTTAACATGTATGAAAAATATCTTTTATTTAAGCGATTTTTGTAAAACAAAATAGTCCTTAATCGTATGTCAATTTCATCGTTAAGGTAAAAAGAAAAACTATCTGCGAATGTCGCATTGTTTCATTTTAAAGTAATCTTATTGGTTTGTGTGTGTTTTGCTGTCATCTTTCAGAAAATAAATGCAGTATCGTAAACTTTTGGGAGAAACAAATGTTTTAAAATAACTTCTCAAAGATACAGGCTTATAATTTAAACCAGGAACGAGCATATCTATTTTTTCAAGTCCGTATTCCGCATATGATATGTTTATTTATAGTATACGTGTGTTATGGATTTGGTGAGATTTGTTCACATACAACGAATATGTATATATATATATATATATATAAAAGTCAATTGGCTGGAACATATTTGTTATCCTGGTTTTGTTTGGTACCTTGTTATGGAAGAATACAAAGGAAATAGCAATTATGTGATATTAAGATAAAAAAAATATGACGGGAAGATATATCTGTTGGAATATCTTTATATATAACTTTTAGCTTGGCTGATGATGTAAAATCATTTTCATTTCAATTTTACAATTAATACAATTTTGCATTAAGCTAAAATACTTCAAAAATTCTTTGAAAAATTACTGAATAAAAAAGGTTATTTATAGTGAAATGAGTATTACAATAATGAATATCACAGATAGCAAAAACTTACATTAAAACAATGAACATACTTTTTTTTCAAATTAAAACATAGTATATACTCATATTCATATGCTGTGGAAATTTAACAAATTTTATAGTAATGAGCTTTTTAACAAAATTGATATCCCATACCTGTTCAATTTATTTGCAAATAAAATCATGTCTTGATGCAAGCCCCAAATCTTACTTTCCTCAATACATCTTTGAGGGTGAATAATGGCAGTTCTTACTTCATAAGGGGTTACGCATTATATTTGTGTGATAGAAAAACATTACTTCTTTGTTAGTATGTCTTTCTCTTAAGCGGTATATATTCAAATATATAATAACCTGATTAATATTACCAGATTTTTTTTAGCAGTTCTACAGTTATCTCGAATAAGATCGCATATTTCTAGTGAGTTGATTCGGTCAACCAATTCGTGATGGTGACCGTTAAACTTATGTAATGTCTATTTCAGTCGTTTTTCTATTAATTATCATATTTATGACATACGATAGGGCAGAGGGTATGTTACTGCTGAAAAATTGGAAGTTGACAACCGGAAAGATGAAATCATCACATTTGCCATAGATTCTATTGCGAAGTCGCCCATCTGTGGCCATACATAATACATAACAAAGATAACAGTAACAACTAACAAAATTGACACCGTCTACCAACGAGAAATAATATGGTATGCCCTCCCAGGTTCCAGCCAAAGGTCTTGTTATAAAACCAGTAATGTATATTAATAATAGAAATAAGAAGATGTGGTATGATTGCTGATGAGTTGCTGTTAAACATACGCTAAATTTTCTACACTTTTTGGCTGCCACAAAACGTTGATACATTTTTTAAAAAATATGTTCATTTATCACTGCAATAAACTTTTAACAAATACTTCCAGGTTTGAAACAAGATGCAAGGGTAATCATTTAGCTATTCGCAATTTAAAGCACATGCATCCTTGTAAGCATATTTATTCATTTACTTCTGCTGAAAAAAGTTGAACTGTTGAATATTGTTTACACGGTCTACCATTTAATACAGCTCATCATTTAAAGTATAGGTTCTGTTGTAAAATATATTGCAAATTTGTTTAAACGTGGCCAAAATGTGTTAGCAGAAATAAATAAGTCAAAATGCATTTTTCATTTAACGTTAACATGTACACAAATAAACCATTGAGCAATGTTATGTTTATCTTTTTATGAAGATTGAATCATGACTAATAGCAAAATAGCTGTTACGATTTTCGAAATGATTATGATTGAATTCGTTTGTTAAGGAACAATTATTTGCACTTTGTCACACGATCAAAGATACATTCAGTGGGATTAAAACTTAAATAAAATGTTTGTTTTTAAATTGTCATTACTGTTACGTAGTATGAGGAGTCATAATATTTTACGTGTAAAAAGCACATATTTAATCATTATGTCTCCCTTCTTGTTCATAATGTACATGCGCATGTCACACAATGTGTTATTATTATTGTTTTTATACTTTCATAGTCACAAGGTATATATCTCATACACTTTTTATATATGAATATTGTTAATAAGTGGTGAACGGGGATGTGATTAAAATTATCAAATATTCTATTTTGTCTTCTTCTATATTGTATTAAAGGTCAACAAAATGAATGATATGAACAAGGCGTTGTCTATAAAGGCATGCTCAGCTATCGTGTGCATTCAAAATTCAATCCATCGATATTGCACCAAGATCATAATTAAAAAAGCACAAAATAACGTAAAAAATTCCATCTACGACACCGAAAAAAAAAGACAAGAAGACGATCACCGTTTGTGGCAATAGCAATGCCGATTGACTATTGAAGAACACGTTCCCAATAATAATAAAAAACTGAATACCAATTTAAGTTAAATTAGAGACTCTAAAGATCATGTGTCGCTTACATAGACCTATCTGCGTCTTCGACAATGGTCACTCTCCAACATTGGGGACTAGAATATAATTCATGACACAAATCTCTTTTTTGTTGATCTTGTACTGCTGATAATTTTTGCTATTTAAAGTGTCTAACTAACTATCATAGTTTTCAAGATACTAGACAAAAACTCTAAAAATGGGTAAAAATTGTCATGCAATGGCAATAACTTCCAGAAGGAGTCAACTGACGATTTTGCACATTAAACATATTTGTAGGTCTTGTTTTGCTGATGATTTTTGCTTAATTTAAGTTTTTATCAATCTAATATAAGTTTAAAGATATTAGGCAAAACACGAAAATAGATTTGTAGAAATCATCACTAAAGGGCAATTATTCCAATCAGGAGTCATCAGACAATTTCTACCATGCTCGGTTATTTGGAGATCTGATCTTGCGTATCATTTTTGCTTTCTAAAGTGTCTATCTATCAATTATAATTTTCAAGATAATAGACAAAACACTAAAAATAGGTAAAAATCATCATTCAATACGATTTCGGTCTTGTTTTACTTATCTGTAGATCCTGTTTTGCTATTTAAGTTTCTGTCTATCTATTATAGTTTTTAAGATATCAGGCAAGAACGCTTAAAATGATAAACTTCATCATTAAAGGGCAATAACTCCAATAAGGAGTCGTTGTTGGAAGATTTATAGCTTTTATCTAATTTGTAGATCTTGTCTTGCTAATCATTTTTGTCATTTAAAGTTTCTCTCTATTTATTATAGTTTTGAAGATAATAGTCAACGACAAAAATTGGTAAAATTTGTCATTTAAGGGCAATAACTCATATAAGACGTCGTCTGACAATTTTGATATAAAATGACAATAGTTTTGCTCCTGTCGGATTTCTCTATTTATCATGTTTATAGCGGTTTTCAAGATAATAGACTTGCATCTTTATCTCAATGTTCTATCTTTAGCCATGGCGGTCATGTTGGTTTGACGGCGGGGTCAATAGGCACATTTAAAAACTCGATAATGATTGTAGCTAAGTTTGGTTAAATTTGGCTTAACGTCTCAGAGGAGAAGCGTTTTGTTAAAGTTAACGGATGCCGACGGGCGACGATCGCATGTGCGATGAGCTAACATTTTCAATCTGTATATAAGTTTATAATGATGACTATATGTAACAGAGTTTAAATGTATATTTTAGTTTTGGAAAACATGCTTTATCTATTAGTTGAAATTAACTTCGAACTAGCTTTTATTAACGGCGAGTACTCTTAGATCGGTACATCGTGTCTTTTGTCTTTATCTTGATTGTTTTTTTTTTATCTTCGTGACGATCGGATGAGTCAAGCCATTCAAATTATTTTTATAATTTGCCTTATGTTGTACTGTAATAACATTAACGGTACCAATATTTGTCTGCACCAAATGCGCATTTCGACAATAAATATTTGTAACACCACTGTCTCCGGTTAGGGGAAAGGGGACTCACAGACATGCTTAATCCCTCTGCATTCTTCATGTGCCTGTCCAAAGTCAGTAGCTTGTGATTAAGTGCTTTTATTGTTTTGTCAAAAATCAGGCAGTTTGTTTTCACCATTAATTTTTTTTCACATTTTATGATTTCGGGGCATTTTAAAGCTGACTGATTTTAAGTATAACAATGAAGGTCGTACGATCGAGTATGTTTATTTACATTCTGGTTTTTCGGTCTCTATTGAATAAAAGAGTCTCATTGGCAATCATGAAAAATCTCCTTATATGTAAATATTACTATTGCTAAAGGAGAATGACATTGATTGTATATACTTCAACAGATTTTGATAATGTATTAGTATTCACGTCGTATTCATTAATCCGACGAGTAGGTAATTTGATAGTTACCCTAAATCCCCGTTTTGAAATATGTTAGATATCTCATGAAAGATAACAGATTTATGATTGTTTAAGCAATTCAAAACTAAGGTTTGATCTACTCCATATAAATAAGATGTGGTATGAGTGCCAATGAGACAACTCTCCATCCAACTCACAATGTATAAAAAGTTAGCAATTATAGGTCAAAGTACGTCCTTCAACACGGAGCATTGGCTCACACCGAACGGCAAGCTATAAAGGGTCCCAAATTGACTAGTGTAAAACAATTCAAACAGGAAAACCAACGGTTTAATCTATATGAAAACGAGAAACGAGAAACACTTATGAACCACACCAACAAACGGCAACTACTGAACAACAGGCTCCTGACTTAGGACAGGTGCATTAAAATGCAGCTAATTTAAACGTTTTAACAGGTGCCAACCTTCACCCTAACAACACCCTTACAACATAAAAAGACACACTATAAAAGAGGGACGAAAGACACCAGTGGGACAGCCAAACTCACAGATCGAAAACAAACCGACAACGCCATGGCCAAAAATAAAAAGACAAACAGACAAACAATAGTATGTGGCACCCGTCGTGTTGCTAATGTTATTACAAATCCGGTAAATAGTCTAATTCAGTCTATAAAATAGCAATTGAAATGGCTCAACTCGATAAAAAAGACATTTAAACAAAAACAAGTAAACATACACTTAACGAATAAGTTTGATCTATGACAGAATATAAATACAAAATACATAGGTGCCTATATAAAATAGACGTTACGTTAGTAATAAAAAGATGTAGGAAGATTGTCAATCAGACAACTCTTACCTAGGACAAAATGGCGTTAAATAAAACAATGTACACAGGTAAATTTAAATATAATAATTTTTGTTGTTAGGAGTACGGAAATAAACATTTTTTACAAAATTAATAAATTTGTTGTTCATAGTACGAGTATAGATTGTCTTAACGGTATATCACACAACGTTTCGTTATTTACTTTTTTAATGCTCTTTGATGCTCTTTAATTTAGTTTGTGATTTGAAATGTAAACTATTTTTGAATCAAGGGCCACTGATGAGTTTTATGTAGACGTTAGCTGTTAATGATTTGGAAGGAGGTTTTGTTGAGCATTAAAAGGACCATTTACAGAGGCTTCAATATTTTTGGGTATTTGTTTTACTGACATATACAACTTGCTTCAATATGTTATGTCATTTGCAAGTAAAACAAGTCAGTCGCCCACTTTTATAAAGACAAGAAAAATGATAACCCTGTAGTAAATATGAATATTGAAACATCATATAAGAAACGTCAGGAGTTCGACTGACATATTAGTACTTAGTTAGATGAAATGCTCGTGTACTTTAAATCTTTGCCTTACATTGGATAACATTGTTTTGGTTTAAGGCATTCCTGATGATGGCAAATCCAGAAAACCACTTCGAACGCAGTATTCATATAGTATTATTATGACCCGCCGCTAGGCGAACGGAGCATTATGTGTTACCGTTCACCGTCCGTCCTTTCGTTCGTCCCAAAAGTATTTTCACATATTATAAGCAAGCTTGATGAGGGCATTTGTGTCTTCAGACACATTTTTTTTTTATATTTTCGTTATTATTTCTAACTATATTAAAATTTGACGCCATCGATTAATTTTTAATTATTCTCTTTATCAGATAAAATTTGTGGTATGATATCCTACTCAATAAAGTCAAGTCAAATTTTATTGTCCTGTTGCGGCTTAATATATTTGAATCGAAAATTATATAAATCTTATTAAATTCTCTATCTTTTTTATATTATAATGAATAAAAGTTGTGAGAGAAAATATTTTTCGAGGATTCAAAGAATAGTCTTGTCCCAAAAAGTCAGGTATTTATATATTAAATTTTAAGGCTGGGAAATGATACACAAAATGAACAAGAAGTTTCACGTGTTGCCGTGCTAAACATTGGCCGACTCGTTATTCAAAGTAACGACAAACAGGAAGAGGGATGAATGTGTAAAGAAAATATTTAGTTCATTCAACATATTGAACAGTACAAAACTTATCAAAGATACATGTACCATGCTTATAATTTAGTTTACACCAAACGCGCGTTTCATCTTCATAAGGCTCACCAGTGACACTAGAATCAAAATAGTTAATCGAACAAATAAAATACGAAGTTGAACAGCCTTAAAAAAAACTTTTTTTAAAAGTTGTACCAATGCCAATATATGCCTAGGGGTTGAAAACTTTAGTATTTCGAGTAATTCAACATTTTATAAATAGTATAAATACACAGACAACGAACAGCATTGACAAGCAGGAAATGGGTATATAATAGATCCTAAAAATGCTCACACGCTACGAATCTTCAGTGGCAAGCTGGTGACAAATACGAAGTCATTCTGTCTATTGTCAATGAGAAAAGTATAAAAACGTTTTGGACGAACGAATGAACGAACGGACAATGTGATCGCAATATAGCTCAAGGAGAGGGTGTAATATCTTCAACGAGAATAGTTATATCAGATGTTTTATACAGAAAAGAGCGAAACAGTAAAAATACCTCGGTAAAACATACTACTGAGAAGAAAAATGAAAAAATAAAAATAACTGTACAAGTTACACTTTAAAATGCTTCTGTACACAACTAGACTGTTTGTATGGGAGCATATCTAATTACACTGTTATTATTTTCGATAGTGCGTGTGTTATTACAATTGTTTGTGTTTTCGTTTGGTTTTCCCAGTTTGTATCTAGTTTTTTTTATTGTATTTTATAGTTGTTATTTGTTGTTGTTCTTGGTTTTTTTTTATTATTTGCATGAATA